ACTACTACTACTACTACTACTACTACTACTACTACTACTACTACTACATATCAAAATTATCAACACGTGCTGACAAGCCGGAAACTTAAAAAATTGCCTAGACTTAAATGGACTCTTGAATTCGGTGCCGCAGAGTGACTTGAACCTCACACGTTGTGGGCCTCATGGCCGAAACCACTAGTCGACTACAAACCTCAGCTTGGTGAAAGGAAGATCCATGATTAAGTAGAGACAAACATCAACATATATATACCCTATGGAACACTCATATTTTACATATATTTGTAAGTTTACATATTCACTATTCACATCTCGTTGGGTGCACACTGCCTTTTCCACGACCTCGCGGATGAGCAACGGCCTTTTCTTCAGCAAATGATAAGGTCACAGCTGCCAGACACCGTCTCGCCTCGAACTCAGCACCGTCTCGCGTCGCGGGGACGGTTTCCTTGTCGGATCTAGGACCTTGTCGGGTCGGTGTGTTCCTTCCTGCGGTTTCGGTCGGTGGTTTCGGTCGGTGCCTGGATCTTTTAGACGTGGTTTCAAGGTCGGTGGTTTCCTTGTCCAAACTGTCTGTGTAGTTCTTTCCTCATTGGTGCGTCCACCAATAGAAGTTGAAACACAAGAGAGTCACGATAGTTCATGATTCAGGACGGACCATGTAAGAAAGGCTTCACTTTCAATTTTGTTTGGGGAGCATTCACTGGAACAACAGCAGGGCATCTGAAGCTATGCTGCTCCAATCCATCGATGCTGAACAGTGAAAAGACACACTGCTGCTCCAATGAAGAAGAGCGGGGCGAGGTTCCATGTGGTCCTTCGTTTTTGATCCTCCAACAAGTAGTAAATATTGACCATATATATAATATAATATAATATATATATACATAAGGTCTGAGAACGGGTGAAGTTCTAAACCTCAACATATGTTGGTCAACCTATCTATATGCCACTGATCCGTCATCCAGCCATGTCCAGCCCCTGTGTTGCCAAAAATATTGCGATCACGTTTAGCCTCCTCGCCTAAAAACCTCCAAGCTAGTTTGGAGGTTGAACCTCAGCACCCCTCATGTTCTTTGCCAAGCCATGCATGTTTGATATTTGATATGTCCTTCTTTCTGGTTTTCTTCCCAAGGAGAAACCGGCGCCCAAAACGTCGCATTTGAACATCTATGAACAATGTGTACCCCGGAATCCCTCTATATTCTTAATCAACTTTAAACTAGATCGACGAACTTCACTCTCACTCACTTTCCCCGTTTGGGAACACCGGTACCTCCGTCCGCACCTGGCTGCAGCGTCACCTCCGTGGGCGCCAGCGTGCGGAAGTGCAGCGTCTCAGGTCCTGTCCGTGACGAGGGCGGCATCCAACGGCGAGGACCTGGAGGTCAGTTGTCGGTTGCCCTTCTCCAGTATCAAGCAGTTGTAGGTTACTTCCTACTCTGGCCCCTAGCAGTCTTGGTGTAGGTCAGGTTGCTCTTCTCCAACCCAAGACCTGACTGAGCGCGACATACGCTGCAACAAATGGTCCTGGACATAGGCCATAAACAGACTGACTCGCCGGCAAATGGTCCAACAGAATCAACACTCTGACTATCTCTGACTATTTGAGATCAACTTATGCTCCCACGCCGGCACGCGCGCTGCAAGCACAGGCTTTCCGGCGCGTCGGGCTTGGCGCTCAGGTGTTTGGAAAATCCATTCACCAGCGGGGGTTGAAGGTTGAAGAGCAGTTCTCAGCATAATGCCAAGTAACTATCAGAGAAAACTCTACCTGATTTGAAGGGACTCAAGTGGGCAACTCTGAATTGCAGTCTAGTTTGGTTTTAACTACCACCTTTACTTACTTTTGACTGCGAAACTGCACCCAAAGATCCCTGGGCATTTTGGGAGGGAGTCTTCTAAACTTAGATACTGGGAATCGTTTCACCTGTAGTCGCAAAGCTACTAGGAACTCTAGTGTCCATGAACTGGATGGTATACTAGAAGCTACTAGATTACTAGAATCACCCATCCATCTCGTGGCTCCAGGCATGGCGGATCTTCCGAACCGCCTTTCTCCGGTCCACCTGACGCCCCAAACCCGGTGACGGGGTTCCAAGGTACGAGAAAACGCCTCTCAATGGATGGGTGGGCCATCACTTGCAATCGATCCTGAAAAGCTTCGGAATTGTTGAAAGGACATGTCCACCCATCCGGAGTTCTGCGCAGCGAGTTTCGGTGCCTGTGCTCAACTTCACCTGGTTGAAGCCAAAGGTCTCCAATCGGAGGCCTCGGAGCTCCGGCCGTGAGGGGTGGACGACCAACCGGAAAAACGGATGAAAAGGAAGATCCCCTACACCTGGACACATGGCCATGAATCTGCATGTGAACAATCAAGAAGAAATGAAGGAAGCGTACAAGTATGAGAAGTCTGAGAAGTCTTTTTCTGCATTTGCTTGAAAACTGCATCTTGTTGAAGTTATCATCCACAGATCCAGTCCCGTGGTCTTTGAGGTCCCCCACCCAATGAATACAACGACAGCGCCCAAGCTGAAGCTCTGTATCTGTATATCTGTATCTATGCTGCTAATAAAATGAATACGGATTGACTCAGTATGTGTATGCTTAACAATGCTTATATCACACATATTTTAGACATACAGAGTGTAAACAAACGAAAAACACCTTGTAGAGCTCCACCAGTTCCCAGTCTCCACGTCGTCTCTGGGCGTCCCCCAGCCCGTCTTCTCCAAAACGAGGCCCTCCGACGCGTCGACAGCTTCGCCAGAGACGCTCCCCATGCCCTGGCAATGTATGTGTATGGAGGATGTGTGTGTGTGTGTTCATGTGTTCTTCCATCACATGTTTCCATACACGCCATACATACCTGGGATGTATGTTTGGGAGGCCTCATCATGTTCCACAAACCCAAACAGCCCAACGACTCTAGTGACTAGCTGACAAATCGTCTAGTCAAAGATTCCATGCAAGTCTTTAAGGCTTTTGTGGTTTGGGTATCTGGTCAAAGACCCCAGCGGGTTGATGATTCTATCAAACATTATAAAACTTGTGATACTTTGGATTGCAGCACTTAAGGCCGGGGATTCGATACAAGAACGTGGCAAGACAAGAATTGGCAAGTATCCAACAACCAAAAGGATCTAAAGGGGTCAGGGGGCGACGCTTGCAATGGCCGCAACTGCAGCTGCAACTAATTTCCCTGAACGCACTGAACAGCCACCCACCGCTTACAAGATGTACAGGTTGTCAAGCTACTATACACCATGTTTGTACTATCAAACATATTGATCTGGAAGCAGATCCGGCAAGTTTGACTCGTTTTGACGAGTTTGACACAAAAAGCTTAGGTACAAGTCTCAGATAGTCTCAGGCTCAGGATGACAATCTTCAAGCTCTAAGTAGCTCCCAGTGGAACTCAATCTTGGTACTCGAGCCTCTTGGCATCTGAGGCTGGCTTGCAAGCCAGCATGGGGCAAGTGCAACCTGAGGAAACATCAACTGACGGTGCTCTCTTCACAAACGCCTTGTGGTGTTCCAAGTCATTCATGGCTGTTCTCAACTCTCAAGTGCTCTCAACCCAGCATGGAACGCATGGAGGATAGAACGACACAAAAAGAAGGAGTCGTATTCCTTCGTGTTTCTTGCTCCATCGCCATTTTCGCTCTCCCAAAGTCCGCGGAGCGTAAGCCTGCGCCACCCGACGGAAGCATGCGGCTGCGCTTGAGGCTCCGCTCTTGAGCCTCCAAGGGCTCCGGCTCCTGGCAAAGGCATTCGGAGTTTCCGGCTTCACTGCAATGACTACAATCACTGGCGTCTCCAAATGTAAAGAAAGCCTCTTCGCCACGAGGATCACGGTCGTGACTTCATGCTTCCATCCGGACACTGGTGGCAGTGAACGACCCGATGCTGCGATGTCCTCATCTTCCTCCCATTCCATTTCATCTGCGCCAGCATGGGACACCTCTGCGTCAGTGCGGAATGTCTGGGTCAGGTGAAAGAAAAACCCATTGCAGTTGAGTGCTTACAGAATTTCCTGGTGACTAGTGTGGTCTCGAGTTGTTTTGCTGAAATAAACATAACTATCATACACCTCAGACAACTTGCGAACATCCACGTCACATACCCAACACTCAAATGGTGATGCCTCTACCAGGTTCTGGGTATTTATTGATTGCTTTTGGCCAAGTCACTTGAGCCAAAACATTCGTTGGTTCAAACCTATGGCAGTAATGAATACATGTTCACCCAAGCCTGCCAG